GCCCCACCCCCGCCCCCACCCGTCCGGGACGTCAGTCTGTCCGTCCGGAATCGCAAACCACCCCCGGGGTGAGGGGCTGCCCACCCGCCCTCGCGCGCTCCCTCGGCCTTGTCCCTCGGTGCCCGACCTCGGCGGGGACCCCGACGTTGTCTTTTCCCCGCGCGCAAGTGGGTCCCGAGCTGGAATCAGGTGTGAAAGCTCAGCCGGCAGGAGGGCGGGGCGGGGGCGGGAGCCAGTCTGCGGCTCCCGACCTGGGACCCAGCGAGGGAGGAGTTGAGATCGTCTCGTTTCCAGAAACTGCCCTGGATCAGCGTCACCGCAGATCCTTGTTGGCTGACCCTTAAAGTTCACGTAGTCCAGCCAGGGCAGGTCCTGCTTTCGTGGACTGGAGGCCCGAAAGGATCCCCCACTACTCGCTCCCTCTGGTGGGGTGCAGGGAGTAGGGGAGCAGAGAGGTGCAAGTCCGGTGGGTTCTACGGGTTTCCAGGCAGCGCGCTATCCGCCGGACCTTGGGCCCTCTCTATTCTCCACCGTAAAACGTGACTCCCACCGCAGGGACGTGCTTAGAATGTCTAGTTCCCCTAAGAAAATCAAAAGACATGGTTTCTTGCTGCCGGTGTCAACTGCAAAATAGAAGAGAGGAGGGATGTCAGGGGTAGAGGATGGTTTTTCCAGGCTCTCTGGAGCCTTTTCAAAGGATATCTATGCAGAATGAAGATCCAAAACTCTATTCTGCGACTCTGGTTAAGTTAAGCCTGCCGGCGTTCCTGGAGCACCAGCACCAGGTTCAACGGAGTGGGCCCTTGGTCATCCAAGGAAGACGCTTCAGCCTTTCCCAGCTGTCGGAAGGGAGGCTGTTTTTCTGTCCTCCAGTCCCGTCCGAAAGGAAGGAACTGCCATTCTAACCTCTCCCAGTAGCTCCTTGAAGTGCTTCTTCCACGATGATGAAAAAGAAACCTTATGAACCAAAGGGCGCTCGTGTGACCTACTGAAATTCACAATGTACCTAACTGCCCATCCTCGTCTTGTCCCACAAATAAACCCTGTAAGTAATGTTTCCGAATGTGGTGTCACCGAGCACATACAGAAAGTAGTCACCAAGAGACAAAGTTTAATGAGGGTCAGCCCCCTCCAGGATCCCAATTACAGCGTTCACCTGGCTAATCCCTGTGCTTTGTTCCCTGAAGTTATCTGTTCTACACTTGGCGGGAGTGAAAGCTGTATGTTTTAAAAGCCTAAGGCATTCTCGGAGGAGGAGACTTCAAGAGTATTTTCTGCTTCAATTTTAGGGCAGGAAAAAAACATTGTTTCTTTTGTTTGTTTGTTTTTGTTTTTCAATGAGAAGCTAATGAGAGTATTGAAAACTCCGATGTTGGCTGGGAGCTTGGAATAGGACAGCGAGTTATAACAACCCAAGATTTTACTAGACAAATTTAGCCCAGAAATATTATGGTTATACAAGAATGGCTTTAAAGACTACTTTTAAGAAGCTAATTTCAGGGATCAGTAATTATTTCAAAATGTTTAAACTTTTTTCAGCTGCTTTCAAAGCAATTCCTGGGGAGGATTCAAGCATTTGGCATGGTGTGGGCTAAACCCTTCCATCTTTAGTCATTCATTCCACTGGCTGGTATTTTAATTCACATAGCATCATGGGTGTTCTGCCTTCTGTCCAGTCTTATAAAGCCATCACAGAAGGTTAATTAACTGGAGCAGACTGGGATAAGCCTGTTCTTAAGACTAGTTCGGGGCCAGCGCCCAAGCAGGCAGTGAGAGTTGTAGGCAGGGGAGGAACAGGCAACAACGTGTAGAAACAGATTCTCTAGTGAGGCAATTCCAGGAACAAGGGCACTAGAACCAGGTGGTGTTGAGAACTGCAAGCTGGGCAGCGTGGTCCAAGCTTCCAGAATCACACTCCAGACTGAGGCACTGCCTGTGACTGGGGATGAGAGATCAAGGCAGCATCCCAGGTCTTGAAAAGGTAGATTGTCAGGATGGGGCCCCCCAGCACTGGGGAACAAGATAAGAATCAGACATTCATAAATTCCTTGAGTGTGAAGCATGCACCAGGAACCAGGCCCTAGGACTGGGACAGAGAAGAAAACAGACCCAAATTCCTGCCCTCAGAGAACTTACATTCTGCTGGAGGATGCGGAGAATGCATGACATAATAAGTGAAATAAATTGCGTTGGAGAGTAGAAAAGGGAAGGAGAGAAAAATCAAGCAGGGGAAGGGAGTCACGAAGTCTCTGGGTTGGAAGAGGGCTGAAATTTTAGCTCAGTGGACAAAGAGACGCCTTTTGAACAAAGAGCTGAAGAAAGTAAGGGAGGAAGGCATGCTAGTCTATAGGGAAAAACTACCCATTATTAGTACAAAACAAGAGTCTATACAGGCAGACCTCAGAGATATTTGAGGTTCGCTTCCAGACCACCATATCAAAGCAAATATTGCAATAAAGTGAGTCATAATCTTTTTCCGGTGGAGAGGCTTGCCTTCAGTTTGTAAAAAATGTAACATCTGTGAAGCACAATAAAACGAAGTACAGTAAAATGGGGTACACCTGTATCTCCCCAAGGGCAAAAGTGAGATACTGGAACTGGGTCACAAGATCAGTAAGACCAATAACATTGACTCATGTTTCGTCATCTGAAGTTGAATTAAAGCTGCTTAATTCAGGGCAGAGATGAGTTCTTATCTTTGCACCCACATCATGGAGCACAGATACCCAATGAATGTTTATTGAGCTGAGCCTTTAAATCTCCCCAGACCTGGGTGGGGCTGAGATAAAGATGACCCTATAATATCCTTCTATCAGGGTTGACATGTCTGCGAAAGAATGTCTTGACCTCTTTCATCCCTTTTTGTGACTATCTTCCTGATCAGGGCAGGAATTATCTTTCCACTCGTACCTAACACACTCAGTGAGAGGGAGAGAAGGAGGGAGAAAGAGGCAAGGAGAATCGAAACAGGGAAACAAACCAACCCTGCTCAGTGTTTAAGACCCTGAAGATCTTAATCCAGCCCAATAAAGAGAGGGAATTTTCTGTTTAACGTGTTTGACGTTGATGTGTTAAAATTGCCTCTTGAAACCGAATTATGGTGATAGTTGCACACTTAAAACAAGTAGATTTTACAGTACATTAATGACACCTAATAAAGTTGTTTAAAAACATCGAAGCAGGTGCCCATGTGTAGCCTGCTTTCACGTGCCCTCAATGATAAGCCGAAGAGGCCTACTGAACCAAACACATTCTCATCCTTCCTATTAGATGTTTAACCAGATTGATTGGTGTGAAATGACAGAAAAATATCTAGTGGTCTCTGCCCCTGGTTCCTGACGTTGCGTTCCTAAATCCCTTGGAATTTCCTGGGTGGTAGGAGTGTCTTTTGGTTGTTCTAACGAGGTGACTCTTGGCAGGCTCCTGGACGGTGGATGGGGCCATGATTAGCAGCTTGGGATTTCCCAGAGAAGGGAGAGGGGCTGGAAATGGAGTTCATGATCGATCATGCCTACTTGGTGAAACCTCCATAAAAATCCCCAAAATACGGGGTTCTGAGGGCTTCCGGGCTGGCCTCCCTGGAGGCGCGGGAGG